AGTTTCCCGCATCCCTCCTTGCCGCCGTCTTTTCCTTTGCTCTTCCCCTTTTCCCCTTGCCCCTGCCCTTCTGGATGGCGTTTACGACCGTCGTCACCTCGGTTGGCGCCATCCCTCCTGCTGCCAAAGTCGCCGTCAAGGACCCGATGTCCATCGGTGCTGGTCCGCTGTCGTCCACCGCGGTGGCCCCCGCTGCGGCGCCTCTTGCAGCGCCCTTAAACGTCTTCCTGTTCGTCAGGCACGTCTCCGCGCGCGTCGCGACCCCGTCGTAGCCCCCGAGGCGGTCGGCGTTGACGATCAGCCACTGCTGAAGGTCCCTGTCCTGGATCCCCGCTATGAGGATCGCCGCCATGATGTCGCTGGGCACCGCGCTGCCGCGCCGCTCGCACGTCTGGACCGCCGCGTCGAACTCCTTCACGTCGCTCTCGATCGTCGCCGCTCCGAACGTCCACCCAGTCAGCTTCCTCATCCAACCCAGAGCTGATGCTGGCTGGTCGGGCTCGAACTCCTTCGCGAGCTTGCGCCGCGCCAGTAGCCCTTTGCCCTTTGGGGTCGGCCGCTGCGCCGAGGAGCAGCGCGAGCATGCGGTGCAGCTGCCGAGACGCGCCGGCGAGCGCTGGGTTCGTCAGGTCCGACGTCTCGTTGGTGACGTTTGCTTCGGCCTCCTGCCCGACCGCGATCATGTCTTGGTTGAGCTCGTCGTCTAGCGTCGCGATGTACGCTGGCAGCTTGAACGACCACGCGGGCCACGCTGCCTCGCTGCCCTTGAACTGGGCTGGCTTCGTCGGCAGCTTCGCGTCGATGATGCCCCACTTCCGATGATCTTCGCTCCTCGCAGGCGCTGGGCTCGCCGCCGCGGTGCCCCCCCGCGGCGGTCAGCTGTTGGAGCGCCTGCTGAAGCTGCTGAAGCTGCTGAAGCTGAGCATTCTGCTGTCTGGCTGTCGTCTCTGCTCGCGCCTCCAGCTGCTGGGCTCGCTTCTCTGCAGCTTCCGCTCGAACCGTCGCCGTCCGCAGTGCGTCCATCACCTGTTGGGCCGTCGGCGGCTGCTGCGGCAACGCTCCTGCTGCAGCTGCGGCCGCGGCTGCGGGGTCTCCCGCTGCCCGCTGCGCCGCTGCTGCTCGCAACTCCCCCATCCATCCCTGAACCTGCGCGCTACGAAGGCCGCGTAGGCTTCGCTCTCGTGGGGCACGAAAGAGCGCCCGCCCTTGTCCACGACATCGGCGGCCACGCGTGACCCAGCTCCTTGTCGAAGACGACGCCCTCGAACACGCGGCGCGTGAACGTTGGCAGGTCGAGCTCACGCCCGACGATCTTTTCGACGAGGCTCAGCGCCGATTCCAGCTGTATGCAGACGTCTCCGCGCCGCTGCCGTCGCCAGGCGGCGTCCTCCGACCGCCGCCGCCCGCGCTGCTTCCTCTGCTTCTTGCGCCCCGTCGCTGTCGCGCCCGCCGAGGCTCCTGCAACGGCCTGCATGGGGTCTGGGCTACACCCTCCGCGCGCCCGCGGTGTTTCCAGCTGGGCCGCTGGGCTGAGCGGCTGCCCTCCGCAGCCCGCGGAGGTCCCCGCTGGGCTGCTAGGCTGCGCGGCTGCCCTCCGCAGCCCGCGGAGGTCCCCGCTGGGCTGCAGCTGCTAGTCTGCCCTCCGCAACCCGCGGCGTTCCCCGCTGGGCTGCTGGGCTCGCACCTCCGACGCAGAACCCGTGGATCTCAGGCCACGTGCTCCGCTACCATGCGCAGCATCCCCCTCCGAACCGCGGTCCTTTTTGAACCAAGAGGGCTGCGGTCCTGCGCCCTCGCCACATCCTTAAACTATACGCATAGCCCTGGCAGTTCCCCTCAGGACTCCTGATGTTCAGCTTGGACTGAGGCGACTTCAACAATGGCGGACCACACCTCCAGCGAAATGCTGGTTTCGATGCGTGGGAACAAGAGCCCTCTATGCCTTCCTGGGGGTGTGTCCGTAACCAGGGAAAGTTTTCAGTTGTCCCGGAGCCCGAAAGCGGCGTCCAGACGCTAAACCTTGTGAGACGCCTTTGCCTTCCAATTTGACAACCTTGAAATTTTCGGGCCAGGAGCTCCGACGTAGCATCTGGCTGGAAGGGAACGAGGAGGATGCTGGCGGCCTACACATCCTTCTGGGTGACTGGTCCCTGAGGATGGTGGGTTGCATGTATGTCTCTATCAAAAGTTTTAGATCATTTGTTTTAGTGTTATTTCTTCGGTCCCTGAAGATGGTGGAATGCCTAGCCGCCGACGGCCAAGGGACAGTGAATGCTGGGATGGGGAAGCGGAATAACTAGCGCCAGACTGGGGAAAGCTCACCCACACACGGCCATATCAAGAGGCAGACTGGGGAATGCTCATATCCATACAGCCATATCGAGAGGCAGAGAGGAAACAATATATGTGAACGCGATAGGAGGAGGAGGAGGAGGAGGAGGAGGAGGAGGAGGAGGAGGAGGAGGACGAGAAGAAAGCGGAGGAGGAGGAGGAGGAGGAGGAAGAGGAGGAATGCGAAAGAAAATCGAGGTGCGATGATCTCTGAAATGTGTTGGCCACGACCTCGTAAGGCTGGACACGCTAGACCGGGACATCCAACATCCCTCCAAACCATTTTCTCCAGACAGCGGTACAACAGAACACACTGCAACATCCCCACAATAAACCCAGACATGGGCCCTGAAAACTTGCACACGGCCCCCCAGACCCTGACAAGGACCGGAATCCTAGCACTGGACGACCAAATCCGACTTTGCAAGAAAGAATGTGGTTTCCAAGACTCGCCAATGTCCTGGTTAATCTGTGTCCTGGTCTCCGGGGGCCTGATTGGGGCACTTTGGGGGCCTCCGGATTGCCGCATGTCTGCGCAATCTTCCCGAGACCTCCTGGACTGAGGAGCGGAGGTCTCCAAAAAATCAATCCGGTGACCACAGCGTCCGATGACCCAGAACGGGAAATCTGTCAGCATCGAATCGGAACATCGCATCGAATCGGAACATGTATCGAATCGGACCGTATCGGCACGGAGTCGGAATCGAATCGGATCGGCGGCGCGAGAATCTCCAACAACGCCAGGTACACATCGGGCTGCATCGGAACGCTCGGAAATTTGAATCGAATCGAATCGGGCCGGCCGGAGCTGGCATGGCGGGCTCCGAAATCCTGAATCAAAACACCTTGCCATCTCTTGGGGAGACGAATTTTACCTACGCTGGCTTCCGCCGTGCTTCCACCTGCTTCCGCCGGCGGAGGCGGAGTCGTCTTTATCTCCGCCAACTTCCGCCGCCCTTATGCCGCCTCCCGCCGAGGAAGAGATGCCAACTGCTCCGATCCTCTAGGAGATGCTCTTTCTGGAGCGCCACAGCGTTCGGATCGGCCGCTGTCAGTTTTGCACAACACATGTTGTTTGGCATCGTAGGAATGTTTCCACATCAATTTTGGGCGTCCCATTCTGTCGCCAGACGGACTTCGGATCCATGAGGGAAGGAGAAGGAGGCGGAGGCGGATGCAGGGGTTTCCAGCCAAGGATACCAGGGCGTCCCACGAAGCCCCGCCGTCCTTGCAACTGACTCACCAGCACAAGTGCAACGAGGAGTACCAATGTGAAGAGCAACGCCAGAAGCAGTACCTCTGCGACCAACACGACGGCAAGCGGCAACACCATGCTCAGCACTCTTAGCGGCACCGGCCGCACCAGTGTGACCGCCAGCACTACAATAAATAGTAGCACAACGCGAAAACCAAAAGCGGTACATTGGCGCAACCTGGCCGCGGATGGGGCCGCGATCCGAAACCTTGCGCAGCCTAAAAGCTTGTGAGGCAGCGTCTTCTCCTGTGACGAGGACGGCGTTCGCAATCAAGATGCGGCGGGCGCCCCAACGATGGCACAATCTATGTATACATATATATAAATATAATCAAGGCGGGAACGACACTTGCAATCAAGGTTGCGGCCAGCGCCGGAGCGACAAAGGCAATAACTGCAGTCGCAATCATGTTTCTTGCCTGAGCCTAAAGAAAGCAGTATTCCGAATCGAGAGCGCAACAATCGCAATCATGCATGCGGCTGGCGCCTAGGCAAAAGCGCCATTTTCAATAGGAGATGTGGCGGGCGCCACTGCGAGAACGGCATGCTCAATTGAAGATGTCGCCAGCGCCTAGACGACAGCAGCATTTTCAATCAGAGACGTGGCCTGCATCAAAGCGAGAACGACATGCTCAATGAAGGATGTCCGCGGCGCCAGGGCGACAGCAACACTTTCAATCAGACATGTGGCTGTCACCGAGGCGAGAACGACATGCTTGATGAAGGATGTCGCCAGCGCATAGGCGTCAACAACATTTTCAATCAGAGACCTGGCCAGCGCCACAACGATAACGACTTGCTCATTGGAAATGTCGCCGGTGCCTAGGTGACAGCAACAAATTCATCAGAAAGATGGCCAGCGCCAAAACGAGAACGACATGCTCAATGAAGGATACCGCCGGCGCCTAACACGCACAGGCCAGAGCAACATTCCGAGATAAGCGCGTCGCCAGAATGTAAGTTTCACGCCCACTTCGCGTGGGCAGGGCTCGGTGTCAACGAAATCTGGGTGACGCTTCGAGGTAGTTCACGTTAGGGGGGGTGTAACTGGAGAAACAACTGCATAAACATAAACTTTCGACGTGCTCGCGAATTTCTTGGACCTGCTTTGGAGCCCCCTGCCTGGCGCGCGGGGCGCGCCAGGGGCGGCGACTCAAGTGCCGCCAGGGCGGCCCCAGCGCCGATCCAAGAAGTCCGCGCGGACAGTCGGAAGTTTATGTTTGTGTTGTTTTTTGTAGCGTCGGGAGAGACAGGTCCTGAGGGCAGCGGGTCCTAGACCCTGGTGCCTTCCCCCGAGAGAAGCTCTTCATCCTGATTTGTTTTCTGGCAGCCCCGGGGCCCGTGGAGGGCCCCGAGGGCCCGACCATGGCGCGAAAATCCTCATGAGCCCTTGTCCCTCAGGAACCGAGGCGGCCCTCCTCTGCTGGTCTTCTGCCGCAGCTTCTCCATGGCCCTGCGCACGCTGGGGTCGGTGCACACGCGCTTCTGCGACTCGGGCCGCCTCTCCCCCAGAAGGGGGGGGGGGGGCGGGGGCGAGCGATGGGTATGAGCGGGGTAGGGAGGCGGAGGACAAAAAGGGCTGGAGCCCCTTGGCTCGCCCCAAGAAGCCGCCTCCTCGTGCGCGGTGTCCTCCCAAACCCCTCGGATCTGAACGGAAAATTCGTCGCCATTTTCCGCCCCTGGGGGCCCGCACCGGTCCTTTTAACGTCGCAGCGCGGCAGAGTCAGTCCGCACGCGCGCTCGGCAGGCTGGGAGAAGGCGTTGCCACTTGGCCCGGATGCGAGAGGAAGGAGGAGAAAGAGGCGGCCGCGGAAGAGGGCGGATGGGGCAGGGGCAACGCGCTCACGTGGCGGGGACCGCCGCAGGGCGCCCGGGGCGACCAAGCCGGTGCTGCAGGATCGAGGGGGAGGAGGAGCAGGAGGAGGAGGAGGAGGAGGAGGAGGATTACCTGGAAGAGTCACCTGAGAGGTACCTGCGTAACTGAGCTATGCTACTCTGCGATTGGCTGCGGCAATAGCGCGCTGCGCATCCTTGTGATGCAGCGCTTCACGCACTCTCTTGGGCACCCCTTTGGGATGCGGCCACAAATCCTTCTCGATTCGAGTTAGGTTCTGCTTGCCTTTAGCCATGCGGGGCTCTTCCTTGGGAAGGCATTCGTCGGCCAGATTGTCTGCATAAGTACTGGGATAGCACCCGCAACGGCTACACACGGTGAGGTCCATACAATCTACGTACAAGAGGGTGTGCGTACAATGATGAGGCTTCCCACCCACGCTCCGCGACGACGACGACGACCGACACCATCCCGCCCCGCCACGCTGGATGCACACTGCTCCTGCTCTAGCATTTTGACTTCAGGAGCCGTACCAGGTCCGCGTGCAAGGCCCAGCACTCACACTCCCAGCAATACGACCGGGCGCCCACTCTCTCCAAGTGGTGGCGGGACGAAACAGTCAGCAGGGCCTGCTTGCACATTCGTGGCCCTTTGGCCTCGTAAGAAGACTTGATGGGGTCTAGAGCCATGCAACCCAGATTGGCACGGACCGCCCGTCGACGCACAAGGTGGGCGATGGCATCCACGCGTCCGACCTCGGGCTTAGCGGTGGCTTTCCACAAAACCTCAGCGGCAGCTTCGCCCGCATTCTGGTCAGCACGCGCATTGCCCGATATCTGCCACAGTTGGAAGGGGGCCTCCTGCCCAGTCAGCTCATCAGCCGGATGGCTGTGAAGGAACAGAATGCGTACCTCAGCCTCGCCCCGATGCGCCGCACACACGGCGAGCCACAAGTCAGCATTCGGGCCCCGCGGGGCCAGATACCTTCTGCGGGCCCAGCCCTGGACGAGAGGCATGTTGTCGGTGTGGTAACGCACGGGGCCGACTGTGCTGCGCAAAGCGAAGATGAACGCCTGGAGCTCCGCGCGCGGCACCGTCTGCCTTGGCCCAGGAAGGCCGGCCACGATGCCCGCCACCTCCTGCGGCGCCTCCGCGTTCTCGTGGATGGCCGCCTGGATGGAGACTCCGACGCCGCACTGGAGGAGGAGGAGGAGGAGGAGGAGGAGGAGGAGGAGGAGGAGGAGAAAGAGGAGGAGGAGGAGGAGGAGGAGGAGGAGAAAGAGGAGGAGGAGGAAAACGAGGAGGAGGAGGAGGAGGAGGAGGATCGAGGAGGAGGAGGAGGAGGAGACCTTGGAGGAGGAAGACCCCGCCCAGGATGGATCGCTGGTCAAAAAAAGACTCAGGATGGAAAGCCAGTCCTTGGGAATGCGTCGACACCTCTGGGGGTCGACGCTAGAGACAAATCATGACGTCAGGGGCGTGGGCGGCTCACCCAAAGAGGCCGCCTCCTCGTGCTCGGTATCCTCGAACACGGCCATACAAGGATGTCATCCTTCTCATGCTCCCCTCCCGCAGGCTTCGAGCGCGGTCTCTGGGCCTCCGTTTCCCTTGTTTGACTTTGAGCGGCCTCATGCAGGCCCCTTGTTGGAGCACGCCCAGTGCAAAGCCCCGCGGCGAGCAAACACTCCGTCTCCCCGCCGCCCCCCCTGGGAGGGTGAGAGAAAGGGAGGAGGACAAGAGGACCCTGAGACCCTGGCGCCACGTTTTTTGTTTGCGCCCGGATCGGGCCCCGGACCATCGCAGACTGATCCGACTTGAGAACTGCTGCGCAAAGATGGGGTCTAAGGCTCTGGTTCTGACTTTCTAAGATGTTCCATCTTATTCGCGTAAGGATGATATTCGAAAAGGTTCTAACCATGAGAACACAATCAAGCTACCCGCGAGTAGCTCGCAGAAGGGAATCATGAGTCACGACGTTCCTCCCGCAAGTACGCCCCAGAGATTCCGCACCCGAAACAACTATCATACTGAAAACGGCAGGCCCGTCGAGGGGCACGCACATATTCCTAAACTCGGAGAGAGAGAGAGAGAGAGAGAGAGAGAGAGAGAGAGAGAACAAAAGATATATATATATATATAGAGAGAGAGATAGAGAGAGAGAAGAGGAATGAGGATGGCGGCGGCGGCGAGGTTCTGTTGGTACACGAGTCAAGCTGCTGTCATGCCAGACCATTCAGCAGGCTGTTCAACTGCCAAAAGTGCGTTATAGTAGCTGGTGATTTCGCGCGCGGGAGGGGGCTCATGCAGGCTTCGGCTGACCCAGCTCAAAGATATCCCTGGGGCCTGGCAGCACCGCGACCTCAACAAACTTCGGTGGCCACTGATGTTGAAGGGGATACAGACCCCCGACGTCATGATTTTTTTCCTGGCGTCAATCCCCATTGGTCTCGACCCTTTCCCCAGGAACGGTTTTCAATATTGCGTCGTTTTCTGACGGCCCGAGGTCCAGTAAGGGCCCAGAGAAGCCGCACATATTTTATTGCGTCCGTCTGCTTCAGGGGGTCTGGGGAGAAGGGAGGCGGGGACCCGCCTGCAGGCGTTCGAGCACGCGCATGGACAGCGGCCTCCTCCGCTAGGTCCGTTCCAGGAAATCCCAACCAAGGGGCGGCACGCACTTCGGCAGTGCTGGGGCCGCACTGACGAGTGGGGGGGCAGCGTTACGTTATGGGGGGCGGGTGAAGGTGGGGGGAGGGGAGCCCTAACGCGCGTTATGGCCCAGATGGAATAACGTACTCTCAAGTGAGCACGGATTGTCAGGGCAGGGGTGCCCGTCGCACACGAACAAACAAAGGAGGGGGAGGGAGGCGGGAGGCTTTAACTCGCGGACAGAAGGCGAAACGGCGCGGCCGCCGGCGCCCCAGCACGGTGCCGACTTGGTCGGGCACCTTCGGCAGATGTGTGCGCTGCGCCGCGCAGCCAAGAAGGCGCAGTCTGCCCCGCCGCCGCGAGCGCCGCGCGAGTTCCCGAGGAGGAGCAGAGCCTGCCCGCGCAGCGGCAAGCGATCCTGCCATCCCGGGCGCGCGCTGCCCAACACGGCCCACCGCGGTGCCCGGGGGCGACCCTGTTTGGAGTCCCGAAACGGTGCGGTGACGGACCGTGCGGTGACCTCGAAATCCCCCAAGACCTCACCGCACAGTCCGTCACCGCACGGTCTTGGGACCTCGGAGGCCCCAGTCGCCCGAGACGTCCTCGGAGAACGACCCGAGTACCAAAACCGTGCGGTGGCCCCGAATCCCCACCAACTCACCGCACGGTGTGGTCACCGCCCCGTTTGGGGACCCCCGACCCTGGGGGCGAGACTGACCCGTGGTGTCTCCCGCTCTCTGGAGGCACTCCTATAGGGGCGAGGGCCGTTGCCGCCCCGGCCGCGGACGCGCCTCGAAGCCCTGACCAGGAGGCGCTCGAGAGGTCCAGCAGCGGCACTCTTGTGGCACCCCACATTGGCTACCCCCACTTGACCACTCCAACCTTGCCCGAGGACCCAAATTTCGGGCGGGGGGGAGGGGGCGCACGGCTTCGACGTGTGTTCCCTTCAGTGTTCCCCGACGCCCTCCCCCGCACTGGCACTGGAGGGCCACTTGGGGCCTTCGGGTTGGGTTGGGGTGGCTTGGTGGGTGGTGGCAACTAGCGCCAGGGTACACGAGGAGCGCTGGAGGGACAGCTGTGGACGGACCCGAGGAGCAGCGAACCCCTTCCGAGCCCGAACCGTTGCTTTTTTCTGGCGCCTTCACTGCAGCCGCGCTCTGGCGACTGCTACGTCCTGCTGCTCGACCAAGACTCTGCCAAGTGGGCCGTGCCATTCCCGCAGATCCGATGTTGACAGAAACTGTGAAGCCGCCCCCAAAAATCACCACCGGAGCTCTGCATAAGACGAAGCCAGGACGAAGATAAAATCAAGCGAGGCTACATCGAAATCCTATGAGACCCGGCGGTTTTCTGGAACGGATTTTTCCTCGTCCTAGCCCCGCCAGACTGGACCCCACCATTCTGCGTCATCACTTTTCGAGCCGGGCCGGTCGGTGCGGAAACGACCGTTGTGAAAAGAAATGCAGCGCCAGTTAGCGGCGCGCACAAGCGGGATAGGGGGAAGGGGGAGGGTTTCTTAGAAGGAGGCTGCTTCTTAGACAGCGCTGGCCTCACATCTATAGACAAGGCCCAGGCCTTCTAAGAAGCGACCGCCTCCTGCTAAGAAGCCTCCCCACCTCCCCCTGCCCACCCCTCTACGCGTGGTCGGGCCAGGATCTCAGGGATGCCTGCGCGGCGGGCAGGCCCTGACGTGCTGCCCTCCCTCGGCCCTGCCAGCGGCCCGAAGGCCATGGATCTCGGCCGAGATCTCTGACCCAGTGCCCGCTGGGGGGTAGGCAGGGCGGCTGGCGCCGGCTGCGTATCCTCCTCCTCCTCCTCCTCTTCCTCCACCTCCACCTCCTTCTCCTCCACCTCCTCCAACTCCTCCTCCACCTCCTCCTCCTCCTCCAACAAAGCTTTTAATTAGAAGTAACTTACCTATGCGACCACCCTTCCGGTGATCAGGAGGTTGTGTGGGGGGGGAGAGGGGGGGAACCAACATCTGACTCAATCGATCCCACTATCGATCCCACTCAACGGGACACCACGGGACACCACGGAACACCACGGGGCATCACGGGACACTTGCCGATCTCAGTATCGATATCACTATCGATCTCACTCAACAGGGCACCACGGGACACCGCGGGCCACCACGGGACACCACGGGACACCGCAAGACACCTCTCGATCTCACGATCGGTCTCACTATCGATCTGACTATCGATCCCATTCAACGGGACACCATAGGACACCACGGGACACCTCGGGACACCTCGGGACACCACATCGATTTCACTGTCGATCTCACTCAGCGGGACACCACGGTACACCTGTCGATCTCAAGATCGATCTCACTATCGAGCTCACTTTTTGGGACACCACGGGACACCTCGGGGCACCACATCGATCTCACTATCGATCTCAGTCGGAGGTGAGGGGGTGAGATCGAAGTGGAACGGAGAGCCCCCCTACCGGGAAATCGGTTTCGGTTTCGTGTTCGTGCGTGCCGTGCGTTCGGGCGAGGCGAAGCTGCGTGGGCGGGCGAGAAGAAAGTCTCCTCCGGCTCAGGCGCGGCCGGACCAAATGATTCCTCTCCAGGGGCCGGTGCCGCGCGGTGTCCCGCTGGTGTCCCGCCTCCGGCTGAGGCGCGGCCAGACCAAATGTTTCCTTTCCGGGGGCCGGTGCCGCGCAGTGTCCCGCCGGTGTCCCGCTGGTGTCCCGTCGATGTCCCGATGATGATGACGATGATGATGCTGCTGCTGATGATGATGATGATGATGTCGATGATGTTGATGATGATGATGATGATGATGATGATGGTGATGGTGATGGTGATGATGATGGTGACCCGATGATGATGATGATGGTGATGTTGACGATGTTGACGATGATGATGATGATGGTGATGATGATGGCTATGGTGGTGATGATGGTGTCCCGATGATGATCTTGATGATGCTGATGTGGCTGATGATGTTGATGGTGATGAGGTGACTAAATGATGATGATGCTGCTGATGATGATGCAGATGATGATGATGATGATGATGATGATGATGATGATGATGATGACGGTGTCCCGATGATGATGGTGATGAGGAGGTTCATGATGATGCTGTTGATGACGATGATGGTGATGATGGTGTCCCGATGATAATGATGATGTTGCTGATGCTGATGATGACGATGATGGTGTCCCAATGATGGTGATGATGTTGATGACGAGAATGATGATGAGGTGATAATGATGGTTTTGATGATGGTGGCCCAATGATGATGGTGCTGATGCTGGTGATGATGATGGTGTCCCGATGATGATTATGATGGTGATGATGATGATGGTGACGATGATGATGTTGTCCCAATGATGATGTTGATGATGATGTTGCTGATGGTAGTGATGATGATGGTGTCCCGATGATGGTGTTGATGATGCTGTTCATGATGGTGCTGATGAAATGATGATGGTGGTGGTGTTCCGATGCTGATGATGGTGGTGTCCCGATATGATAATGATTTTGATGATGGTGACGATGATGGTGTCCCGATGATGATGGTGATGATGATGGTGATGAGGTAATGGTGATGATGATGATGATGGTGTACCGATGATGATGATGATGATGATGATGATGGTGATGAGGATGATGTTGATGACGTTGATGACGATGATGTTGATGATGATGATGATGACGTTGATTGTGAAATCGATTGTGATATCGGTAGTGAGATCGATAGTGGGACCAAATGTGAGATCGATAGTGAGATCGATAGTGAGATCGATTGTGAGATCGATAGTCAGTTCGATTGTGATATCGATCGAATGAAATAGTTCGAGTGAGATCGATTGTGAGATCGATCGAGTGAGATCGATCGAGCGAGATCGATCGTGAGATCGATTGTGAGATCGATGGTGGGACCGATCGAGTGAGACGTTGGTCCCCCCCCCCGAACCTCCTTATCACCCGAAGGGTGGTCGTATAGGTATCGATCTCACTATCGATCTCACTCAACGGGACACCACGGGACACCACGGGACACCACGGGACACCGCGGGACACCGCGAGCCACCGCCAGACGGACCGACGGACGGGCGGGCGGGGGAGAATCATGTGTCTTGACTTCGCCCTAGCAGCGGCAAACACCACGGGACACCACTGGACACCACGGGACACCGCGGGACACCGCTAGGGCCACCGCCAGACGGACGGACGGGAGCGAAACATTTGTCTTGACTTCGCCCTGGCAACGGCGGACACCACGGGACTCCAAGGGACACCACGGGACACCACGGGACACCGCTAGGGCCACCGCCGGACGGACGGACGGACGGACGGGGGAGCAATATTTGTCTTGACTTCGCCCTAGCAACGGCGGGTTCATTCCTCTCGCGCGCCCACGCAGCTTCGCCTCGCCCGCAAGCACGACACAAACAAAACGAAACGATTTCCCGGTTGGAGTTCTCAGTTCCACTGCGATCTCACCCCCCAACCTCCGATCCTCGTCATCCTCCTCCTCTTCCTCCTCCCCCTTCTCCTCCTCATCCTCCTTCTCCACCCTCCCACTTGTTTCACAAATGCCTGGTTAGTCCATCGCACACGTTCCGTCTAAGCTCCGACGCGTAGCTTGACAGAATAATCGGCTGCAGGACACAGCACACCAGAGAACTTACCAACCAAGCATGGCCGCGAGGAGTGCGCCTAGATCGCAAGGCAAAACCGTTCCTGCCTTTCTCCTGTGAACAGCGTTTCCCTGTCGCACCCCGAAGCGTGTCGTCTCGGTAGGGCAGGCCGGGTGTTTCGCCTGAGAGGTCCTCACCGTTCATAGCGCTGAAACTGGCTGTCGAGAACAAAGGAGTGGCGTTGCGACGCGATAGAAGATTCTCGAACGATTGTCTTCCAACGGGGAATTCCCACCTGTGCCAAACAAATTGTAGGGACGTATGATGAAGGACGATGCAGGAAGGGTTTAGTGCAACATCTTTGATGCGTCTTGGGTTTATCCTGGTCCTCCCCGTCCCCCTACTCCTCCCCCTCTTTCTCTTCCGTTTCTCCTCCTCCTCCTCCTCCTCCTCATCCTCCTCCTCCTCCTCCACCCAGCACCCAGACCTCCGACGGCTCGATGTTTCCGAACCGCTGGGGCACTGGAATTTCTCTGGGGCTGGCCCGTGCTTCGTCCTTGGTTTCTGACGGTCCGCCGAAGCTGAAGATGGCGAGACGCCTCGGGCGCGACCCGTTGGAGCCCGTAGGACTCTGGGTTCGGGAGACAAGAAGCGACCCCCAGACTGTTGCGGAGGCGCGTTCAGTCCAGGACTTTGACGCGGATCCAGCCGTGGCGACGGGGAGTCCTCAAGGAAGCCCGAAAAGGAAAAATGCGGTCGAGCACCTCAATACTAGAAGCTCGATCCTGAACTCCCCCGTCGCCTTGACCAATCTCCTGAGAGAAAAGAAACCGTAGAAAACCTCAACTAGACGTTGGCGGCAAACTGTTAACCTGGTTACCACTGAGAGCCTCGTATAGCCCCTTACAATGATGAATCACGCTGGAGGGCCCAAGAACGACGCACAAGAAGCCCCAGAGACACCCAAGAGAGATACCCGAGGCCGGCGCTCTTTGGGCGCCATCGGGAAGCTGCCTGCTCCAAGTCTTCTCGCACATGGCGAAGACAAAACAACAACCGACTCCCTACAACATCGATCCTGGAACCCGCCTTCAGGACAAGTCCCAGGGATTCCGGAATATCCATCGGTTCTGAAAACCTCGCGGAACCAAAAAAATGCTAACTAGCAAAACGTATCATTATCATGACTTTCCCAAGCACTCCTTGTTTCCATTACAGGTTCCCCAGAGGATTCGGCCATTTCCCAAGGCCAGCTTGCCATCCACATCGATGTTTGACGGTAAAAACTATGAAACATTGCAAGTTCATTTTTCCCGAAACGTTGAATGTCTGGGTCTTGCTCCTCTGGTAGGGGCGACATCCAAGCCCTACCCCCACAAAGCATCGATTCTCCTAGGGGGTAGCATTCGGATTTCGCCACGTGTCCAACGAACTCCGGGCCCTACCCGGCCGCCCATCGAGCTGCATGAACCGTTTATTGGCGAGGGTAGGGTTCAGATTTGCAGCTGAATTGCTCGTCTGATCCTTCCCCTTCTCCTTCTCAAGGTTGGATTGCGTTGCTTGCGTGCCTCGTGCGACGCGGCGGACGGGGGGGGGGGGTCCGAGGCGCCCCGCCTCTTCTTCCTGCGCCCGAAGTCGTCGTACTCGCAGTCGTCCTCTTCCGGGGGTGGTTTCCTGTCCACCTCGTTGGAGGGGAGGGCAGGGGAGATTGTTGACATTTTTCCCAACTAATGATCGTTCCGAAAGGGGGGCTGCGTGTTTCACGGGAGCCTCTGTGGACCTCCGCGGCCCTACAATAAACATGATGACGGACGGACGTCGTCCAGATTTCAACCGTCCCTCTTCACTCTTGCGTCCGGATGTCGTCCAAATTCCCCCCGGATGACTATTAAGCCAGGCGAAAACCCCCCAAACTGCAAAGACCCTCTGAGGCTCCCATCAGAAGGACCATACACGGGACGGGGGGGCCCTGGCCAACGGACGCCCTTAACATCTGACTTGTTGGGCTTATAACCAGCAGGAAAACTGACCTTGCAGATTGATGTTTAATCATGTCGTTGATCACTGAACGAAAGACAGACCTACGCATGCACATGGCGGATAATTCTGTAATTCGTCAAATACCCAACCTGTCGACGACACCCCACCGTTGCGATGTCATTCCGTCTTTCGATAACAGCTACCGCCCCAAATATATATTCTTGCGCTCTTTGATCCAAAATCCAGAGATATTCTCGGCGCATGCCAAATGATGGTGAATGGACGTCGATGGATATGGCCCGATTTTCTCGATCAAAAGCGATTCCGTTGAAACGTGCGCGGCGGCGTCTGCATGTGCATCCCCGTCCTGCATGTCGCAATGATCTCACGAGATACACCGGGCGCACTGCGCAGGCGCATTGCGCCCCCGGCAGCATTCACTCCCCGCCTGAAATTTTGAGCCAAAATTTTGAGCCTCCCCGGCATGCACTCTCGATCCTCGGCCAAAACTTTGAGCCTGAGGGACGATATCATTTTGATCGTTAGCTTCTTCCTGAAGGTTCTACTCCAGACTTCGGGTGTTCCTTGCATGTACATTCATGCACTCCCCGCTGTACTCACGGCTTTCATCATGCGTTCCTCCGCGTAGCACCACCCACGGCGCGGGTTCGAATGAGCGCAAACATGTAGAAACCAATTTCGACTCCAGCGCTGCATCGAACAAACGATCCGCTAATCGACCGAATTTCTTCGTCGCAAATGTTTGGCTCGCCAAATATGTAAACGCGCATTGTTTCCATGTTGCTGCTGCCTGTGGTGTTAGCTTGTACCTCGCGTGTTCTCTGTGATAATAGCACCCAGCCGCGCGTTTTTGTGAAGGCCTAACTTATCTGCTTGTTAATCGGGAAAGGCAATATGAAACGCAATATATCACAATGCGCCAGCACCAACGTCATCATTTCCGCAACTCGCCCCTGCAACCTTGGATGATCCCCATCGTGTTTCGCAGGGTCGTGTGACATACTTATCAGCACACGATTACAATGCCCAGATATGCCGTTCCGCCTCCTGTTTTTTTTTGGGCGCGAGCCATGGCCTTTTGTAGAGTGTCAGCAGCCGTCCCAAAAAGTGAACCCTTGGCAGGAGAAGCCATAACACTAGGCCGTTTAAGTATTGCTCCCTCCCGCTTACATGAACGAGATCATGCCGAACGGGTAAACATTTACTCATGGAGTGCCAGCGATTACATGACGCGCAGGTTGCGCAGCCATCCATGAAGCAACACCCCAGAAATGATGCAACCATGGCGATCCGTTCTGTCTGTGGTCAGTCCACGTCTTATCTGTGACATTGGCAGTGCGCTTGCACTATGGCGAATTGCTATGTGCAGTCAGCAATTACTATTCCTGGGGCGAGCAACACTTGCACTGCACCCCCCTCCTCCCAAATCTGTCGCGAAGGCGGGCGCCCTCCCTATTCCCTCGCCAGCCTCCAATCTGCCCCATCCGCATCACCTCCCTCCTCCCCGCCACCATGGTCGTCCCCGCCCCCTTCCCCCGTGGCCTGCTTCCCTCTCGCAGGGGCCGCCCCCTCCTCTCCCGCCGCCCCATGTCTGGACTTCCATTCACTGTTCAGGCGCTCCCAGCCGCCCTTCAAAGGAAAAGGCGATAGAGCGTAATCCTCCTGCCAAGTCAGCGTCAGCCTTTGCTGATAGGATTGGGTTGCCGCTTGGGCACTCGGCGCCTCGACGGGCCGCTTGCCAGTGAATATCGCCTTGGAGCTCCAAGCCATCACCTGGCAAAGAACGGCTTATCGTGAGACGTGCCGTTTTCCCGACTGAGCAAACATCGTGAAGATAACAAAAAAAGCTTGCAAGGGCTAGCGCGACATTGTGTCGTTCCATACTTGTCCAGTGCCTTTCACTGGGGCCCCGCCCCGCGCAACCACGCAGGGACGAATATGTTGGCGTCATTTTCTATGTGGGCATCACATTGCATTCGACGCGGGAGCGTCTGCCATGCCGCCCCAAAAGTTTACCAACTCATCACTGCCGCTGCAGACGCCTGCGAAAGATATCGCTGCAATGTATACGCATTGCAGCCATGAATTCGGGCTGTAACAACATGCTGAATTTCACTGGGCGGAAATCTCCATCAGGTCCTGCGGCTCAGCGCACCCCTGGTTTTTTTTCCAGCGCAATATTTTGGAGAGGGGGGGAAAGGGAAGGTCAGGGAACTCGCAACGCACCACATATTTCCAGACCGACTGCCAGCCGCACGCAGCCTCATACAGCCTGCCAGGCCCGATACAAAAACCCTGGACTCGCACAGTGAGGAAAATGCATGTGTCACGGAATCGGTGCATCGAGGCAGGACCATTTGCACGAGGAGGAAAAAAGAAACATCTTATTCGAATAAGACGAAAGGATCATGGCGCTGTGTGTGCATCACTCCCCATATATGGTCCCATCGACCACTGATACAATGAGGCCTCACACAACGGCACGAGAAAGGAAGACTCACCATGCAAACTAAGTTAACACTCATGCGGCAGCATGGCTGATAGAACATATCCCCGGAATCCTATCAACTCAGAGGCGGAAGCGGGAGAGGAGGAGGAGGAGAAGAGGAGGAGGGAGAAGAGGAGGAGAAAAAAATGGAATGGACGCCAGGTCACAGCCCAGGGCTCCACTGGCGGGCCAAACACCCCAGAGCAGTACACGCAGGAGCAAGCAAGGAATCACATTGAAAGTCAAGGTATGTAGCATACCCGCGGCGCGCCGAGGCCACGAGAGGCGTCCACCCCCGCAAAAAAGGAAGGGCCGAGGCATCTCGGTGGGCGGGCGCCCCGGGCTGGGCACAAGGCCCGCCTGCAGACTTAATTAAACCACTCACAAGACCGACCAGCGCAGGAAGAGGAGGACGCGGGAGGCGAGGGGCGGGGAGACTGAGCCCGGCATCACTACCATCGGACGCCCCCCCCCCAGAGGGGGCCACAAGCCCCAGGAAGGCAGGACCGCCCCCGACGGCAACGACGACGGCGACGAAGACGGCGAAGGCGGCGGCGGCGACGATGACAACGGCGGGGGGAGAGGGGAAGAGGAAGGAGGGAGGGGCCGCAACAGCGGAAGGAGGGGGACGAGGGGGGGAAGGGGAGAGAGGAAGAGGAGGGAGGGAGGAGGCCGCAGCCGCAGGAGAGGGGGAGAGCGGAGCGGTCCCTGCCAACCGAGGCGTGGGGCCCCCAGGGGGAGGCGGTGGGGCGGACCAAAAGTGCCACTCACGGCCCTTGGCCTGTCGTGGACAAATTCTGGGGCTATCTGCCACCACCTCCGTCGCCTCCACGGGGCGCACGATTTCCAAGGTCGCTTCGTTGCCCTCGTTGCCCTCGTCGGCGGGCCCCAATTCGTCGCTCGGGGCGCTCCCGGGACACCAGTGAGCCGCGCAGCTCACTGGTGCGCTTGTGTCGGCGCTGGCGACGGCGCTGGGGTGGGCGTTGGTGCTCGTGCAGGCGTCGGAGCTGTCGTTGTTGCTGTTGTAGGCGCTTACGTAGGCGCCGGCGTCGGCGCAGGCGTTGAAGCTGGTGTCGGTGCGGACGTCGGTGCCGGCGTAAGCGCCAACGAGCGCTCCTGCGACACCGGTGAGCCGCCCAGCTCAGCGGTGAGCTGGTGTCGGCGTTGGCGTCGGAGCTGGTGTAGGGGCTGTTGCCCGTGCTGGCGTCGGTGTTGTCGTTGTCGCTGGTGTAGGCGCTTGAATTGGTGCCAGCGTCGGCGCAAGCGTTGATGCTGGTGTCGGTACTGGCGTCGGCGCTGGCGTCGGCGTTGTTGTGGGGGCTGGTGCTCGTGCAGGCGGCGGTGCTGGCGTTGTCGCTGGTGTAGGCTCCTGCGTTGGCGCCGGCGTCGACGCAGGTGTTGATGCTGGCGTCGGTACAGGCGTCGGCGCTGGCGTCAAAACCAGGTGCACTCCTGGGACACCGGTGAGCCGCGCAGCTCGCCAGTGCGCTGGTGTCGGCGCTGGCGTCGGAGCTGGTGTGGGGGCTGGTGCTCGTGCAGGCGTCGGTGCAAGCATTATCGTTGGTGTAGGCGCTTGCGGTGGTGGCGTCGTCGTCGTAGGTGTTGACGCTGGTGTCGGTGATGGCGTCGGCGCTGGCGTAAGCGCTAGCGTGCGCTACTGGGACACCGGTGAGCCACGCAGCTCACCAGTGTGCTGGTGTCGGCGTTGGCGTCGATGCTGGTAGAGGGGCTGGTGCTCGTGCTGGCGTTGGTGTTGGCGTTGTCGCTGGTGTACGTAGGCGCTTGCGTTGGTGCCGGCGTGATCGCCGTCCCGGCAGTGGTCGCCTCCACCTCGCGGTAGTGGTCCCTTCCTGATCGGTCGTCTCAATCTCAGTAGTGGGCATGTCCACCTCGGTGGCGGTCAGCACCGGATCGGTCGTCACCATCTCGGGATTGGGTCGTTTCCATCTCGATGGTGGTCAGCTCCTGATTGGTCGTCCCCACCTCGGAAGTGGTCATGTCCACCTCGGTGGTCAGCTCCTGCTGGGTCGCCTCCATCTCGGTAGTGGTCGTTTCCACCACGGTGGTGGTCAGTTCCTGATCGGTCGAATCCTGTTCAGTGGTGGTCATTTCCACCGCGGTGGTGGTCAGCTATTGGTCGGTCGTGTCCATCTCGGAAGTGGTCAGTTCCACCTCGGTGGTGATCAGCTCCTGATCGGTCGTCTCCACCTCGGTTGTGGCCAATTCCACCTCGGTGGTAGTCCCTTCTTGAACAATCGTTTCCGTCTCAGTAAATCGATATTTCCCCTTTGGTGGCGGCCATCTCCTGATCGGTCGTCTCCATATCGGCAGTAGTCATTTCCACCTCGGTGGTCATCTCCTGATCGGTCGGCTCCTACTCGGTAGTGGTCAATATCTCCTCGGTGGTGGTCAGCAACTGGTCGGTCGTATCCCTCCCGGAAGTGGTCATATCCACCTCGGTGGTGGTGAGCTCCTGATCGGTCGTCTCCGTCTCGGTAGTGGCCATTTCAACCTCGGTGGTGGGTACATCTTGAACGGTCGGTGCTGGCATCGGTGGTGGTGGAGGCGCTGGTGTTGATGCTGGCGACGGTACAGGACTCGGTGCTGACGCAGGCGTAGCGTCACACGATAGACGGGGCAGAGTTCCGTGACGCACCAACTCCGTGACATTTGGGACTTTTCTGTATTGGTATTTCTCCGGGGCTCAGCGCACCCCTGGTGGATATGGGTCGGGGAGATTCTCTGGCGCAAGCTGAAGTCTGGAATATCTGCGCATGTTGCTAGGGATGACGCCGCTTGCCCGTATGCCAGCGGTGCAGCGCACTTCTGGGACAGAACCATGATTACTTGAGTGCGTTAAAATCGCCCACGGCGGGGGATGATATCTTTTGCAGCTGCTGTGGCAACATGTTCCTCCCTGTCCCCTCGGCGAAACACATATCATATCAACTTGCTCGGTTGCGTCGGCGGCGGGGCTTGCCGAGCTTTCCCACGGCCTTCGGCTAAATAAGAACTCGGGCACGGCCTTCCCCATGCCACCTTTTTCCCCATGCCGCCCAAGCAGGAACAACTCAAAAATGACATGACCCGCTTGGGCAGATGTGGCCATGCAAATGTGGTTGCCACGTCGGTTCCCAATCCTCCCCGACCTCCTCGTCATCCTAGCCCGCGTCGCCCTCCTCCCTCCGCCCCACCCCTGACCGTGTCTGTCGCGCCTCCCACCCCCCCGTTCTCCCCGCCCGCATCGCCCTCCTGCCTCAGCCCTCCTTCTTACAGTGACCACCGCGGGCGCCGCGCGCTACTCATGGTCGCCATCCCCCCCTGGGCCTCGGGGCGCAATCGCCAACGTTTCTCGCGCGCGCCCTTTGTCAGGGCGCCCGCGTGCATCCGCCGACGGAAAGTTTCTCTGAGCCCCGCCTACTACGCCATGGCCCGCACGCGCTCTATGGCAAACGTCGGGCGCGCGGAACTCCGCGACCCTGTCGGCGCCCTGCCCGCGCCCCGCTCGTTCCGCCCTGCCGCGCCGGGGCCAGTTTTGCGTCCTGGATTCAGTTTTTTCCCATTCAGCGAACGTGCCAAGTGTGCCTAATCACATGCACGAGGCAAGCCTGGAATTACGCGAGGGCCAGCCTGCGATAGGCGAGCCAACACCCAAAACCTTGGCCTGGGCAGAGAGACTGACATTTGCATCCCGGGTCCACTTTTGCTGGCCCCGCGGCCCGAACGCGGCCCCCGGTGGCCGGAATGGAGGGACGAGGCGCGACCGGAAAAGGAACCAACACGGCGGAGGTCTGGGCCTGGGCTCGGGAGGCTCCACAGGCTTAGGTCGGACGTGTCCCCCCACAGGCGGATTGTGGGCGAAAAATCAGAAATAGCCTAACAAAAATCAGAGAATGCTAGGAACACCGTCCCCAGATTATTTTTTCACTATTTTAGACTATTCCCCCTGTAGACGGACATCTCCGACTTAACCATAAGCCAGGTGTTGCCAAAAGTGTCCCTGGCTCAGACGTCCCCCAGAGCACCCCTCATCCGGTTCAGAGGGCCCCAGGAGGCTCCAAAATGGCGCGGCAGGCCAGGGACGCCTGGGGCCAAGACCGTTCCATTAGAGGAGCAGAGAACACAATCGACATAATTTCTTGGAGGCCAGACGGGCCCTTGCGCCGATCCAAAAAATCCGCGCGGGAATAAAAGACATTACGTTTACATATGGCCGAGTCCGGAAACTCTGAACCCAAAAATGTTGTCATCTCGTGGGAGGTCGACTTTTGCTTCCGCCGGCTTCCGCCAGCGGAGCCGCCGCCGCTTTACTTCCGCTGCCTTTCGCTGACCTTTCGCCGCGGAAGCGATGGCAACTCCTTCGACCCTCGAAGGCACGGCCCTTTCTGGAACGCCCCGACGATCCCAAAAAGGTCTTTCGAGACACCTCCTCCGCCCTTGATCTACCCTCGGCCCATCCTTACGTCTCGAGCCTCCTCGACCCTGAACCCTCGAGCCTCCTCCATCCTCGCTCCTCGATCCTGGATCCTCCAGCCTCCTCGATCCTCCTCGATCATCCTCGATCCTGGAGCCTCCTCGACTCTGACCCTGATCATCCTCTATCCTCGTTCATCCTCGATCTTGAACCCACGATCCTCCTCTATCCTCTCTTCTACGGTCCCCTGAGATCTGACGCTGTAGAACAACTCCAACATCGCGAAAATCACAACTGGAGCCCGGGACTCCATTTTCATGCGGCATTTTCCGACCCGGATCGATCTGCCAGGTGCCAGGGCCCGAAACCAGACGAAATTTCCTGGCTCGGCACATTGCGACGCCATGATCTCAGGGTCGATCCCCCTCCCTCCTCCCTCCTCGATCTTCCTCGACCCTCGATGCTCCTCGATTGCCCCGGAGAGGCCCGGCAGGCGGCGGCGGCCTGCAGGTCCTGCCTGTCGTTGAAGCCGCCGGCGCGCCCGCCCTCCGCCTCCGCGCGGCCCCGTCATCATCGTCGCAGTCGTCGTCGTCGTCGTCGTCGTCGTCGGAGGAGGAGGAGGAGGAGGAGGAGGGGGAGGCACCGGCGACGTCGGCGTCGTCGGCGTCGTCGTCGCTGTCGTGGTCGTCGTCGGCGTCGTCGTCGTCGGCGTCGTCGTCGTCGGCGGTGTCGTCGTCGTCGTCGTCGGCGTCGTCGCGGTCGTCGTCGTCGTCGGCGTCGTCGGCAGCGTCATCGTCGTCATATCGTCGCCACCGCCGCCGCTGGCGTCGTCGTCCTGCTCGTTGCTCGACGTCGTCCTCCCTTCTCCTGTTACTCGGCAACATCCTACGCACCATCGCAAGGGAAGTCGGAAGAAAAATGTGCGGCCGACGCGCCCGCCGGGGGGAACAAGCACGAACAAGCACGGTCGGGGGCTGGGGAACTCCTCCTCCTGTATCCCCCTTCCTTTTTCTTTCTGCTCCCTCGCAACTTCCTCGTATTTTCCTCCTTTGCCTCCTCGTCCCTCCGCCTCCACCTCCGTCTGTCCCTTATTTAGTCCGTCTGCTTCCTCGCATCTTCACCTCCTTTTCCTCCTCTCCTTCTTCTTCCTCCTCCTCCTCATCCTGTTGAGTCGCGCTGTCATGGAGCAGTCGTGCCGGCTGAGCCTGAGCAAGGGAACTCAAGATTCTGGCGCACAGCTTGCCGCCAACGTCGCCGTGCGCCCCAGGTGCCGCAAGCGTCCTCACGCTCCTGTTCGTGTTTCTGCTGCTGCCGATCCCGCTGCTGCTTCCCTCCCCTCAGCAACACACTATCTTTCTCTTTCTCTGAGATTAAGCCTTTCATGCTCCATATCCCGCTCCCGCCTGCCCATTTCCCCCGCTTCCTGAATAGCCCTATCATTTGGGCCCCTTCTCCTCCACCTTCCTCCCTCTTGTCCTCCTCCTCCTCCTCCTCCTCCTCCTCCTCCTCCTCCTCATCATCATCATCATCATCATCATCATCATCATCATCGTTCCCTCGGCCCGGATCCTCCCCCTCCACGCTTTTCCTCTCTCTCTCTCTCTCTCTTTCTTGTCTCTCTTTATTTCCTTCTCTCTCTGTCTCCCCCTGTATACCTCGGAGTGATGGGGCCGAACGGTCATTCACTGTCCCTGGGTGCGTGGCTGGAGTGAGCTTCCGCGGTGCGGACTGTTGTTGCTGTTGGTGTTGTTACTGTTGTTGTTGTCGTTGTCGTCGTGATCGTCGCCGTTGCTGCTGTTGCTGTTGCTGTTGCTGTTGCTTTTGCTGTTGAACCTTCACTTCTCACAAATTATTGCTGATTCCCCCTCACCGGTGCATGTTTTTTTTCTCAATCAAAGTGCGCACTTGAGACTTCCTCACAACTTGCTCAGGATCGGTGCTCCCGCCTGTGACTTCCTCGCAATTTAATCAGGACCCCCGCTCCCATCTGAGACTTCCTCACAAATTACTCAGGAACGGCGCTCCCGCTTGAGACTTTCTCGCGCTTGAATCAAGACTTCCTCACAATTTAAGCAAGACCCCCGATCCCGCCAGAGAGCCCTTCACATTTTATTCAGGGACTGCGTTCTCGCCTGTGACTTCCACGAAATGTATTCAGAAATGGCGCTTTCGACGCTCAGGAAACACGCTGCGCCAAGGACGCCGTTACAATTTACTGAGTGACCGCGCTCTCGCCATACTCTGGTATCCCGCTTGAATGTCCCACCCGCCCGAACCGCCCGTCAGGGGATCGCCCGCCCGTCGTGGGTTCCCGCCCGAGACTTCCTTCAGGAACGGCGCTTTCGCCTAGGACTTCCTCGAACGTTCACGCTCTTACCTTCCTGCTCCTCCTCCCTCTCCCTCCTCCCTCCTCCCTCCTCTCCTCCCTTCTCTCTCCCTCCTCTTCCCCTCATCCTTCTGTCTCTTTGCCCTATCCCCTCTCCCTCCTCTCCCTCCTCCCTTCTCCCTCCCCTCTCCTGCCTCCTCCCTCCCTCTTTTTGTTTTTCTCTCTCTCTCTCTCTCTCTCTCCCCCCTCTCTCTTCTCTCTCTTTCTCTACCTCTTATATGTTTTTTGTTCTCTCTCTCTCTCTCTTTCTCTCTCTCTGCCTCTAGTCAACCGCCCCCTTCTTCGCTCCTTCTGTCCTGGCGTTGTTCCTCTTCCTTCGTCCCTCCCCCTCCCTTCCTCCCACTTTCCCTCGTTCTCCTCTTCCTCTTTTTACAGGGCCCACACCAATTCCAATGGCGGGCACATGTACGCCCACGAAGGATTGTCCGCCCGTTCAGGTTCGCCCGCATGTCTAAGCCCGCCGCCCCCCGCAAAGAGAAACAATCCCCCCAACGGGGGTGTGATCGAAAACAACAAGGGCGGGCATCGAGGGTGTGGAACATTCGTTTTGAATGACACGCGGGCAAGTAAGAGCGAACTGTATAATAATGATTGTTGCTGTTCTTGCTGTTGTTATTGCGTTCTGATTACTGAAAGATACATATGGTTGATCCCCCGTCCGGTGCACATTGTATGTTTTTCCATTGAAATGGCCCTCCTGGCGCTCGCACCCTGTTTTAGTATCACGGAAACTCTTCCTCCTCAAACAATGCTGTTGGCTTCCGGTTTACAGCAACAGCGGCTCCCGCTTGATACTTCCTCGAAATTTACTCCAGTCCCCCGCTCCCGCTTCAGACTTCCTCGCATGTTACTGAAGAATCGCGCTCCCGCCTGAGACTTCCTCGCAATTTACTGAAGCGCCGCGATCTTGCCATTCAGGGATCGCGCTTTCGCTGGGGACTTCCTCAAATTTGTTTGAGAATCGCTCTCTCGCTGGAAACTTCTTGGCGAATCTCGCAAAACTCACGATCGATCCACCCGCTCGGCCCGCCCGTCAGGGAAATGCCCTTCGTGCCCTATGCTCGCTCGCGCCCCTTGTGCCTCATTGCTGCCCTTCGTGGCCCCTCCCCTTGTGGCCCAGTCGCTGCCCTTCGTGGCCCTGATGCTGCCCTCAGTGGCCCCTCGCTGCCCTTTGTGGCCCATATATATATATATATATATATATATGTATACGCCCTTCGTGGCCCCCAGTCGCTCGTGCCCTCAGTGGCCCCATTGCTGCGCTTCGTGGCCCCGCTGCTGCCCTCAGCGGCCCCCTTGCTGCCCTTTGCGGCCCATATATACGCCCTTCGTGGCCCCCAGTCGCTCGTGCCCTCAGTGGCCCCATTGCTGCGCTTCGTGGCCCCGCTGCTGCCCTCAGCGGCCCCCTTGCTGCCCTTTGCGGCCCATATATACGCCCTTCGTGGCCCCCAGTCGCTCGTGCCCTCAGTGGCCCCATTGCTGCGCTTCGTGGCCCCGCTGCTGCCCTCAGCGGCCCCCTTGCTGCCCTTTGCGGCCCATATATACGCCCTTCGTGGCCCCCAGTCGCTTGTGCCCTCAGCGGCCCCATTGCTGCCCTTCGTGGCCCCAGTGTAATCCCGGGACATTTTGTTCCTTGCCTCCCTCTCTTCCCCCACTTCTTTCCTCCTCGCGTTCTCTCTCTCTCTCTCTCTCTCTCCCTCTCTCTTTCTGTCGCTCGCTCTCTCTCTCTCTCTCTCTATATGCGAGGGTCCCGACGTCCGAAATAAGGCTCAATCGTCGCGTGCGGAAAGAATTGCGACGCTAGAATCTCGGAGTCGGCCCGTTCCCGAAGCGGTGGGCCATCAGTTTGGCGTTGCTTACTTGGGGAGCCGTTGATGGGGGGCGAGGAAACGTACACTTTTCGTGTCCCTTTTGGTCCTCACTTGGCCTTGTTGGGGCCCTTAAGGCGCACGGAGGGTTCACATCTCTTGACCTCCCCATTTCGGCGGCGAGCCCAGGGGGGAAGTGAGAAGGCGAAGGCCTTCTTTGAAGGCTCGGGAGTTCCCAGGCCTTCTGAGAAGCTTTCTGAGCCTGCCCCAGAGACACAGAAAACTTCTCAGAAGGCGCGAGAGCTTCAGAGAAGCAGAACCGCCTTCTGAGAAGGCCTTCTCCTTCTCACGTCCCCCCCTGACTCGCCGCAGACATGTATCGCCTCCCCATTACGCAACGCCCGCACCTGGACCTGCCAGCAGCCACCGTCTCCGCCTCGCAGCCCCGCAGCGGGGACAGGGCTCTCCTCGTCCTACTCCTTCCAGCAAGGCTCGACCTAAAGATGTGTTTTTCGTTTTCGTTTCGCTTTCGTTTCCCCTCGTTTTGCCCTCGTTCCGCCTTCGCTGCAAAGTGACGCCAAAATAACGAGGGGCATGACGACTCCAATCCACTACTTTGGGGGTATTCGACTGAACCCAGTTTTCGTTGGCCCAATACACGATGGGGGGCGACCGCTCTCGATAGGGGGGCGTCCGGATAGCCCCCTGAAGGAGTGTCCCCGACTTCCCTTTCCTTTCTGAGCGACCTGATTCTTCGCGGGGAACTCGGGAATTGAGAGCGACAAATCGCCTTGAACAAAAACGAAAACGATCCACGAGATCGCCCAAACACCTTTTTGTCTAGCCTTGTCCCTCTTTCCACCCTGCGCGCCCGAAGAGGGTACGGACATTACCCGCGAAGTACCCAAACCTTTTCCCAACGCGTGGCGGCAATTCATAGGACCGGCCAGCACAAAGTAAGACATGGAGAGATCTGGGGAGCTCGTGAACGCTCAGCAAAACAGCATCGGACCCCGTCAACTCTTCACGGAAGTGGCGACGGTGGCGCGGTCGGCTGCCCCCAGAGGGAGCCCACGAAAGTGGCGACGGTTGCGAAGGTGGCAGCAGGCAAAAGGAGGACGGAAGGAGGAGGAGGAGGAGGAGATGCGCGAGTAGTGCTTTGCTCAAGCGAGAATCCCACACAAGAGGGTTGGGGCAAAAAGATGGTACGATGTCCAACAACATATGTTGTGCGAAACTGGCAGCGGCCGCTGTTGGGCGGGCGACCTGTCCGCCTCAAATGAAGAACGCCCGCGGCGACACCGACAGAGCGTCCTATTCAAAATGGGCACGAACTGCTGTCGGTGTGAGCCCAGTGCGATAACGCCCGAGAACGACCCCGCCCCCCTTCTCCCCCGACTGGTCAAGCCACGATTCGCGACAGCTCCGTTTGGGAATTAGTCATGCTTAAGCATTCCCAGTCGGTGCTGGCGCAAATCGTGACATGACCAGACCCCTCTCCCCCTTCCCTCCCTGGTCACGCATGCTTCCCTGAAGCTGATTGAAACAAGCCTGGGCCAATTTCTGTTGTTTAGAGATGGGGGGGCGGACAGACTCAAGAAACTAGGCCAGCTTTTTGGCAAAATTGCTCAAGAAATGCTGGCCCAACTTTTCGTGATGAGGTTTCTTGATCATGTGCTCGACTGAATTCATCCCCAGACTGTCCGTACCCACTTCGAACATATCGACCTCCGCTATCTTCCCCGGCCCTCCTCCCCGGAGCCTCTCTCAGGGCGCGCTTTAGCCGCTTCTCCTCCTGACGCGCGGCCGCGCGGGCCCGGAGGCCAGAACAGGAGCGGGGGGGAAGGATGAAGAGCTTGAGCATCGCTGACTGAGGGTCCATGGTCGAATGTTTTCTGTGTTGCCTTGACACACATGGCGGCTCCTGGAAACCCTGGACCCAAAAATGTTGCCATCTCTTAGAAGGTCGACCTTTACTTCCGCCGGCTTCCGCCGTGCTTCCCGCCGGCGGAGCCGCCGCAGTTTTACTTCCGCTCCGCCGACCTTCCGCCGCGGAAGAGATGACAACTCCTTCGATCCTCGAAAGAAGGCAAGGCCCTCTTTGGAACGCCTCACATGTCTGGGTCTCGGGGAGCCTCTGGAGGCCTTCGGAGACGTTTGCAGACCTCCTCCTCCTCCTCTTCTTGCTCCTTCCTTCCTGATGTCGATGGTCGAAGAAGACGAGGAGGACGAGGAGAGAAAAGGCCCAAGACGGCAAGACGGCTGCCTGGCTCAAACGCGGCTCCGAGACAGATCCAGAGACGATCCGATAGGTACCCAGGAGGGCCACACTGGTACGCGCGCGAGCGTCGAAACCATCGCTTCGCGGGCGGGCAACTGAGTGGCGCAAGCCTCTCGGGCGAGAACAAGGAGTGGGCAACGCTCAACGCAATCGTACTCTTTGCGGGCATAAAACCATCCTGATATTGCCACGAACTCCGACCTTGGAGGACCAGTGGGCGTGACTTGCAAGGAAGAAGAAAACAAAGAAGAGGATGCCTACAGGGCGCATCATGCTGATTCCCGTGTTGTCCGTTTGACCGCGGGCCGCTTTAAGGCGCATTATGCTGGTTCCCGTGTTGTCCTTTTGACGCTGTGCCACTTTGTCGGGGTGTCTCCGACCATCTTGGAGCCATGTTGGGCAGACTTCGGGCCCTGGGGCGTCTCCGACCATCTCGGGGCCTCTTGGATCCTCCTGGGGGTCTACTTGGGTGAAAAGCTGGAAACGTTGGTTCATGCTCCATCTCTGGGGCCCCTCTTGGGGCGATGCTGGAGCCTTCTCGGGCCGTCTTGGAAGCTCATTGGGCCGTCTTGGGGGCCTCTTGGGCCGTGAGGGTGCCCTCTTCGGCCGTCTTGGGGCGACCTTTGGGGCCTCCTGGGGCCCTCTCGGCGATTGAGGAAGCCTGACAAGCGGAAACACGAAAAACATAGAACAACCTGCAAGAAATGGATGAGTTTTGCCTCTCCGGGCACTCTTGGAGGCCCTCCTGGTGGCCTCTTGAAGGCTTCTTGGAACATCTTAAAGCCATCTTGGGCGTCTTGGACCGATCTTTCGGCGACTTGTGGCCCGACCATCTTGCAGACCATCTTGGGGCCGTCCGTGCCGCCCGGAAACGCGTCTGCCGAAATAGGGCCGACAGCGGCCGTTGTCCGCCGGCTTCCGCGGGCGTTCCGCCCGTGGCTGGGGCCATGTGCTGGGGGATCCACCCCAAACCAGCCAAGGGGAACGCGAAACGGGAATCCCTCCGCAAGGTCGGGGAAAAAGGATGAGGCATACGCTGGAGGAGTAGGACACGGAAGAGGACGGAACGCAGGCAATGGAACGTAACAGAAGACGCACTAGCGGTCCAGATGGATCAGCCCCAAAAGGGCATCGCGGAGAGGGCGCAACCTTGAAGGCGTCGGTGTGGGAGATGTTGTGGCGTTGGGCAAATTAAAACAAGGGGAGCGTGGATGAGGATGAGGGGGGACGGGGAGAAGGCCAGATGCGCCTAGATGTGCGAGGAATGCCCGAAGAATACCCGAGAAAGGACCCAGGGAACCCTGGTCCCGGCTGAAACCGCAGCGGCCCTGCCTCCAAGGGGGACCTCGAGGAGAGGAGGGGGAGGGGGTCGGGGAGGGGGCGATGGAGAGAGGACAGAGGACAAAGGCGCTCGGGGTGTCTGACGTCAGCTCCACGCTCTGTCCCTCCCTGCGGAGGACACGGATGCAGGGCCGCGGTGCCTGGTTGCTCCCGTGGGGCCCCAACCGAGCCTACGGGTGTCCCCAGGCGATTCGACTCTCGCGCTCCAGTGGGGCCCCGCTTCGGCGGGGGTGCCAGTGACCCCCTCCAATGTAGAAGGCGAGATGGAGGGAGGGGCACGGCGAGGTTGCGCAGCCCATGGCAGATCGACCGCGCCGATTCCATCCTGCCACGGGCGTTGCACACGCAGGGCGAGCGCGAGTATTGCTCTGGGTGCTCGACAGCGGCCCCCCGGAGTCCCAGATCGCTTGGGAAGTCAGCGGGCGTTGTTGTTGCTCTTCGTGACGCCTGGAGGTCCGAGGTTCCCCTTCTGATCGTCCTGGCATTCACTTCCTCCTCCATTTCGTCCTCCATCTTCCGTGCAGGCCGTCCTCCCGCCATTCGTCCACCATCGCGCCGCTCTGGATCTCCTGGCCAACGCTTCGGGGAAGAAGGGGGATGAGCAGGCAACTGGCCTTTTGTTTTCTCATCGCGGCGCACGCACGCCACCGGTGACGGCGGACTTTCCGCATCACGATCGGACTACCTCATTATATTCCGCGCAGGACGAGTGAAAGAAGATAACTGATCAGACACAGGAGGAGGGTGAGGGGGAAAACGGAGTGACAGACAGGCAGATGATGAGGCTGGATGAGATATCGGGAAGGCAAGGGGCATAAGTAAGAGTCCCGATGGAGGAATTGTAAGGCTGTCGCTGTAGGGGTAAAATAGGAACCTCGAGATTCGCACTTGTTTTATTATTCGAATGATGTAGGAACAATGTCGGAGCCTCAAGAGCCGTGTGGGCGGTCAGGCGGCTATGTTGTCGCCGTCGCCGTCCCGTCGCCGCCCCGTCGCCGTCTCGTCGCCGCCCGTCGTCTGGGCCGTGTGGGCGGTCTGGCAGCTATGTTGTCGCCGTCGCCGCCCCGTCGCGGCCCTAGATTCCAATTGTCCAAAAAAAAAAGACTGGGATCTACCCAATTACCCCCGGACTTATCGGGTCCCGCTGGGGATGTGCAATTTACAAACGATTTTGCCCGCTCGTCCATCCGCAAGCATGAATTCATACCATCCCAGAATGGCCAGCATACCCCCCCGTATCCTCTGCAGCAGAATACTATTCGCGCGCACTCGTTTATCAAACACCATCAGTTGTCAAGAACCCCTCGCCAAAATATGAGACGAAGTGCGTACGCGCTCGTCGTCGCGCGCGATTGCCGAAGTCCTTGCAAACTTAAGGTTTCGTAAGGATTTCAGAATCAAGTGCCACGAAACATGTAAGATTTTTCTGCTTCGGAACTATACATTTAAAAACGAATCTGCGCTCGCGCTATTGCAGCTTTTAAAAGCACCATCGGTTTGTCAACATGGTCATACCTTGCTACCAACGGGTTTTTCGCGCGCGCATGTCGAGATCGTTCGAGAGCCCTTGCGGCGCGCTGTCGCAAGAACCCCTTGCCAAAAAATACAGACATGCACACGCGATCGTCGTCGCGCGGGCATGCCGAAATCCTTTGACACAACAGCGTTGAGTGCCGTGGGGGTGTCAAACAGTAGTGCACCGAGAACACATCTAAACAACTACGTGCTGTTGAAGTCCTTTGTATTTTTTATGTCAAAAAACCCACGCGCGGGCGCCCTTGCGAACTCTACAAAACCATCGGTCCTCCAACATTGTCATCAAAGTTTGCCAACTGGGCGTCTCGCGTCGCATGCCGAACTCATGCGGACGCCCGTGCGCGCGTGCGGGGGCGCGCGCGATCCGTGTCGAAGAGTGCCGCACGGGCGATTCGCGCGCGTCGGCCGCGCGCGCATGTCGAACTCCTTACAAAACGTTCATCATCGACGCGGGGACATCGTCATCGTTATCGGTGGGCGTGATCAACATCGGCGCTGTCGTTGGATTTGCAGTCGTCATCGCCACCATCGCCACCACCACCGCTACTCTCATTCTTGCGTCTACCATTGTCGGCGTAGCCATGATACCGCGCCACCCGAGTCGCCGACTCGCACTGAAGTGCCCGCTGGAGAGTGCCCAGCGGTCAGCGCCACCGCGGCCGCGCCGGTCGCGCCGCGCAAGCTGGCCGCTGCGCGCGCGAGCATGCGCGGGCTAGCGCGACCGCGAAGATGCACCTGCCAAAGCCACTTGCGGGCGGGTGGGTGGGACGATTGCGCGCGGGATGGCATTGGCAACCTACTGCGAGCAATTGCTGGTGGCACCACATGCATTCTAAGCTTTTCCTTTCTAGATATATACGTTTTTACATATATATATATATATATATATATATATATATAAAGACCCCCCGGGGAGAATCGGTTCCCCTTTTCGCGTTGCAGTCTACGTGCGATTCTGCCCGGTCGCCGACCCTAAATATCAGCGAATTCATGCCCCCCCGGCCAAGTCCCCCCCCCCCCCCCCCCGACACCCCCTGCAACAAAACAAACTATGCGCGCGCTCGCTTACCACAACAGCATGAGTGTCCAAGAGCCCCTTGGAAACATGCGATCAAGCGCACGCGCGCGCGTCGCCGCGCGAACGCCGAAACTCCTTCAAACAACCTTCGGTGTCGAAAGGGTGTCAAAATAGAGTGCCCAAGACACATATACGAATTACACATGGGGTCGCAGCGCGGATTTTTTTTTTCTCTCTCTCTCTCTCTCTCTCTCTCTCTCTCTCTCTCTCTCTCTCTCTCTCTCTCTCTCTCCCTCTCTCTCTGTCTCTCTGTATATAAAAATATAAAACGCGCGCGCTCTTGCAAATTCTTGAAAATGGCATGCGTTTTCAACGGCTTCACGACGTGCTGCGAAACGGGCTTCGCGCGCGCATGTCGGCGTCGTTCGAAAACCCTTGCGCGCGTGCCGTCGCGAGAATCCTTTGCAAACTAACGAGGCGAAGTACGCGCGCGCGTCGTCGCGCGCGCGTGCCGAAATCCGTGAAAAATCTCAGCGTGCGCAACTATGTCAAAACAGAATGTCCAAACAACAAGCAAAACACACATGGCTTCGCAACGCCATGCTGCAGAAAACCGCGCGCGCGCTCTTGCGAATTCTTGAGAAAACCATGGGTTTCTAAAATTATGCCAAACGGGCCTCTCGCGCCACATGGCGACACCATTCGCGCGCCCTTGCGCGCGTTCTTTTTTTTTCGGGGGGGAAAGGCCGATGCGCG